ATAAAGTTTATGGTTTGAGATTTTTAAAACCCATTTAAAAAAAAGTTTGGGAAAATATAAACGGGACAAAGTTTTAAATAATATAATTTTAAAAATAAATTATAAAAATAATGTTAATTTAAAAATAATAATTTAAATAAATAAATTCAAAGATAACTTTTTAAAACTATTGAAAAAAATAGTTTAGATCAAAGTAAAAGTCAAAACTCGCGTACAATGTCTGCGATTTCCGTGCAAACGTATATATTTGACGTGGCAGGCGACTGCATGAAACATTAGAAGTAGCGTATGTTGTAAACAACTTCCACTTTTTTTTTTATGTTGGAAGTCGCCTACAATGTACGCGACTTCAACCTTTTTTTTTTATATTTTTATTTCCGTTTTTATATTGTTATTTTATTAATATTGTGAAATTTAATTAAGATGTGATTAAATTTTTTCTTTTTTGTTATTATATTTTAAGTTTTGATTAAAATGTCAATTAAATTCTAAAAGTTTAAAATTATATTAAAACCAATTCGATGAATTATAAGCTTATGTTCGTGTTTTTATATTATAAATCAAACGTTTGTCAAATATCAAATTTTATAATTGTTAAACATTCAATACAAAGAGTTGTTATAAACTTTTAAACATATTACAAAATATACATAATCAGGTACCACATTATCATGGCCTTCTTACGCGACGTCCATGACGAGGTTCTTGCTGAACAGGTGATGGGTCAAGTTAATGAGCTGAACTAGATGCAGTATCTAAATAAACTCATGTCGTAGGAATCATTAGAAAATGTGATTGTATAAGAGTATTCATAACCTGTTAGCCTCATATAGCATCTTTATTTTATTCTTTAACATGTCCAGCTTCTTGTGCTTCATCTTTGCTTGTGCTTGGTTACGCTTACGATGAGGACGCCTCATTTTGAAATTTGAAGCAACTTTTGGATAAACTGAATTTGATTCAGTCACGCGAATGCAAGTATCACACGTTGATCTTAATACATGTAAATTTTCTTGTACTACATAGTCTTGTACGTTGCTAACAAAAAAAATCTTGTAATATATATAATAATTATTAATATTTAATTTTATTTAAATATTGTAATTAAAAAATATAAGAAAGGTAAAACTAACCATGTAACTGTGATAAGCAGATTCGCATGTGATATACTTTCTTATAATCGAATCATATCGATCTTGATAATCATCTGACACGCCCGACATATCTGTCGCATCACTAAACACCGATCACGACGTTGACGTCATAGTGATATATATGCGACATGTTTACATTGCCAATTGTGATCATCTTTTCCTCGTAGGTCGATCTGATACAGACTCGTGTCAATATTACAGTATGATGGTTTATTCGGTAAAAGTTCAAATTGTCGCAACACTCAATTTGGTAAATGACACTCGATAATATGAAAACATATAAGAGGGTTTGAAGTCAACCAAATGTCCCCCATTATGACAATATTCAGGTAATAGAGTCATAATGTCGTGATTATACGGTGTCCAAATAATCTGAAATCATTAATAAATAAGTATTAATATTATTATTAAGTTAATTATAAGTATTTATTTGTAAGTAATATATTCACTTATACCTCGTTGGGCTTAAGTCGATCAAAGTATGTTCGATATTGAATCAACATGTTCGTAGATTGTTCAGAGCTATCAAAACTTCATTCCATCTGCATTATGTAAAACGTATTCAATTACATATAATTTAAAAATGATATATAGATAAATGAAATAAACGTATTGTGCACTGAAAGGATGTCCAACACATTGTTCAGGAGTGAGTACATGGTGTTGTGGAGCAATAGTAGGAAACCTATCCCACGCCCACACTTGTAAAAATATCAATGGACCTGCTATATCCAGGGCATCGGCTCGACTAGCCTGACAGAGTTCTCGATATAACCATGCGAGGCATGCACTACCCCATGAATATCGTCCAGCTACCTCGAAATCGCTCAGTAATGGAAGGAACATGAGATCAGCTAATGTGTTAGAGTCATCGTGAAATAAAAATCCATCAATGAGTTTCATAATATATGCTCGTGCGTATCTCTATATCATAACGTCACCAGCATCTAGTGGTAATTTAGTGAATTGTGCCGCTAGCCAAGGAATACTCAACCTAGAGCCCTTAAGTTGAGGGGTCGTACTCCTAGTAAGTCCTCCTCACATAATTGTACCCAATCGTATTGCAAGGATTCTGTAATGGGCTATCCATCAACATGTAGCCCTAACTGCACAACAACATCTTGTAGTGTAATAGTACACACTCCACCAGGCATATGAAATTAGAGAGTTTCATGCCTCCATCGCTCAACTAGTGTAGTAAAAAGGTGCAAATCTAACTGAGTAAACCCAATCCGTGAAACTCCCCAAAATCCAGATTGTTATGGATATAACACTATACGATTATCTAGCCTAATGTTATAGATACTACGGCCTCTCTTCTTTGACATTACAAAACTATGTAGATCCATTATCCCACACTAATTGTAAAAATGATGCGATCTTTGTAAGTATAGTTGATGCGAATCCAAATGTCTTGGATCCATAATTAATTCTGGAATATAATAAGACAAATAGTACAATTATAACCAAAGTTAATTTCAAATAACAAGGCATAAAAGTATAGTACATTACAATCTCAAATATAAAACTATTACAAAGCAACAATCGATTCAATAAAGCGTAGTGTATTACAAAGCAACAATCCGAATATGCGATAAAATATATGCCAAAGCAACTATTGATTCACACCATGGAGAACGATATGACTGCATATGCTTCAACCTGTACATAGAAAATATAGAATCGATTTCAATATTAATATAACTATAACTGGATGTTAAAGAATTATTTAAAAAAAGCCACATTAATCATCCATTTGTCTCGAAGACGAAGCGTCAGAATTACGAGTTGGACATGTACGTTTGTTATGTCCTTCCCTCTTGCATATTCCACAATGGACTTTCGTACCCGCCTCTCGCCAATCCATCTCATTGTGAATGCGGGAAGTTTTGGACGTCCATGTTCCCTCAACAAATTTGGGTTCAGATGAATAACATCAAACTTGACATCCGACCAATAGTCCCTAAGTTGTATAGGGTAAAAGCGAGATGCATAATAAAGTTGGTATCATGATAATTCGTAAAACTTCTTGACATAAGGTAAATATGCCAAGTGAATATAATTGCAGACTGCAATCACATGAAAGCACTAGATCTTGAAAGATTGTCACTTGTTACTAGTACATGTGTTATCCTTCAAGCAAACGACTTGAGTATGTTGACCTTTATAAGGAGAGAACATATCCATTCCCGTTTCGACTTGAAAAGTTTGCGTCTCTCGATCAATAGAAGTCACTGAATGTGCCGTCGCATTTTCTCCCACCTCCTCAATTTACTTAAAGCATACTTTGTATACTTTTCACCCCGAGCCAATGCTTCACAGATATTCTCTCTACGTTTCTCGAAATAAGTAATAGTCTGAATAAACGTAAACTTCACCAATGTAGTAATTGGCAATATTCTGACTCCATTAAAAACACCATTAATACACTCTGCTAGATTTGTTGTCATCCATCCATATTGAAACTCTTGATCGTGTGCTTGTATCCATTTTTCTATGTTTATATGAGTGAAAAATCAAATACAATATGGACTCAATTGTTGTAACTCTCTCATATATCTTTCAAATTTATGCTTTTGGTGTTGACACCCAGCACGATACACCAAATCTTTTAGGGGCTTTGAATTATATATATATTTTTTATTGAAATTGCTAGTCACATGACGGAGATAAAATCGATGATGTGCTCTCGGTTCACTCAACTATTTTCCTTATTTTTCACAGCCGCCAAAATACCTTCATGTTGATCATAAATTAGACAAATATCATCTCATTCGGTAACCAAATTTTGCAAGGCACACAAAAAAATGACCAACTAGAAGTATTTTCCTCTTCAATAATAGCAAAAACGTAAGGAAATATATGTCCATTTGCATCAATTGAAGTGACAATAAGTAATTTCCCTTATACTTGCCATACAGATGTGTACCATCAATCTGGATTAATGGTCTACCATGTTTAAATCCTTTAATTGCCGGACCAAATGACCAAAACTCTCTCCCAAAAATAAGATTGTCAGGTTTATTTGAAGGTGTCAAATCTCAGAGAACTCGAGTGTCGACGTTGTAACGCACCAAAGTATTCAACCAGTATGGGAGCTCTTCATACGACTTTTCCCAATCTCAAAAAACTTTAATTAGTGCTTTTTGTTTAGCTTGCCACACATGTCTGTAGTTTACACAATATCCAAAATCTTTTTTTATGATTTCTTGTAATGAAGCTACAGACGTACTAGGATCACGTCGTACAATATTCTAGATTTCATTGCACATAAAATTTGAGTTCAATTGTGAGTGATCCTGTGTGAGCGCTGCATATAAGCATGAATGAACCTCGTAAATTACAATGATTTCAAACACCCCATGGGATTTACGTCGACGAGAGCGAAGTTTCCATTTGCAACCATCATTCCATTGTTTGCATTTTACACATCACATATCTTGATTCGATTCTCTTACAACAAATTGGTAATGTTGTGCAATACAATATTTCTTGACAGTAAGTTGTAGTTCTTCTTTGCGCCTAAATTTTGACCCTACACGTATGTTATCTGCATTCATTTATACGGACGTTGACCCTTCTTCCCACCTTAACCCTTCTTCACATATAGAATCTACAATCTCCAAATCTATTTCAGTAAACATCTGTGAAGGTTCCTCCTCATTTGGACGTGGGGGATTCAAATTTACTGGGGGGTTCAAACACAATTCTGTTCCAAACAATTCATCAACTTCTACTTCAATATCAAAAGTGGACCTATTTCCAGGTTAAGTATCACCATTTCATCACAATCTAATGACATAACTGTACAATATTTATAACTATATTAACGAATTATTAAAAAAACATAATTCATAATCTATATCCGAATAATTATACATAACCTATAACATAAATCCAAAAAAATTAAACATAACCTATATCCATACTATATATCCATAACCTAAATTCAAAAAGTAAGCATAAATCCAAAAAAGTTAACTATAATCCAACATTAATAAATCTATGTCCAAAATTAATTTAATACAATCCAAACAAATTTGTAACAAATTACAAAATTTATATCTACAACCAATTTAATATAATTTAAATAATGCATGACAAAAACTATATATAAAAATATTAAACTACCAAAAAATACACTCACGTACATAACATATTTCTTAAAGAAAAAAACATGGTAAGGGAGCAAGAAAGGCCTATAGAAACAAAAGAAAATTAAAAAAAAAGGTACCGGCAGTTCAAGAAGTACGATATGTGGTGGTGAGGAGTGGCAGCAGCAAGATGCAGCGGCAATGGAGAAAGGTGGAGGCCGGCAACGAGCTGAAAACGGCAGCGTCGGTGGCGGTTAGACTATGTATGGACGGTGGCAATGGAGGAGGAGGGAGAGGGACCACGAGTGGGGACATTTTGTCCCCTCCAAAACCCTAGGTAGTCGCAGCCAACAACTGATGCTTGTCTCGAAGTATAAACAAGGTAAAGAGAATGTAGTTGCTGATGCTTTGTCTCGAATGTATGCTCTTTTTAACACTTTGAATGTTATAAACTACTTGAATTTGAGCATATTAAAATCTCGTACCATGATGATCCTTAATTCTTTTGGTTCTATTTTTTATTCTCTTGAAAATGGTACTATTTTGGATGAGTATAACTTGTTTAATGGATTTCTCTCTAAGAAAGGTAAGTTGTGCATTCCAAATTGTTCTATTTGTGAATTGCTCGTGGGGGAGGAATAATGGGGCATTTCGGGGTAGCAAAAACATATAACATGCTTCCTGAACATTTTTATTGGCCTAGGATGAGACATGACGTTCATTAAAGTATGTGAACATTGCATTTCATATAGGCAAGCTAAATCTAGACTTAAACCGCATGACTTATATTCTCCTTTCCCACTCCAATTGCTCTTTGGTTGGATATATTAATGAATTTTGTTTTAGGTTTGCCAAGGACTATGAGAGGTAGAGATAGTATATTTGTGGTTGTTGATAGATTTAGTAAAATGAATCATCCAAGGATCCAACGAATAGCTAAGGTTTGTTGACGATCCTTATTCCATGTCCCAAAACTGATGATGCTAAATATGTTGAAAATTGAGAGAATTAATATTTTAAAAAAATTAAAAAGAAATACCCAATGATTTTATACAAAATAGTCAGTTAAAACCAAGGTTCGAAATGTCGATGTCGATAAAAATGTCGAGGTCCCAATTTTACGGACATGTCTATGTCGATGGATATTTGGAGAAAAGTCACAAAAATTGTGAAAATTAATAAAAACTGTTTTAATTAGTAAATAGAACTTTAATTGTAGCTTAATTAAACTATAATTGATCACTTCTAACCGTCATATGTAAAAGTATGAGTAACTTACTTATGAAAATGTCGATGTCGATAGAAATGTCGGAATAAGATAATGAAGATTGATGAAAATAATTTGAATTAGTAAATTGAAGTTCAAAGTTGCTTAGTTATATTTTATTGATAATTTATAATTTATAACTAAATTTAGTGTAATTGAATAATATATGAAATATTGATATATATATACACATACATACAAACACATGTACAATTATTAAAAATAGAAGGGTAGGTTTAAAAATTTTGTAATTAAATTTGAAAAGAAAAATTGGAAAAAATTCAACCGCAATAAAGTTAGGTCAATAGTAAAAATTGAAAATAAATATTAAATAGATAAATTTAAATAATAAAATAATAATAATATCTATCCAGCTAGGCTGGGCTCTGTTATCTGGGCCCGACCATTGAGTAATTTTTTTTTTTGGAAATTGTTCAAGGAGACTCCCCTTCAATTGATACCCTAGTGGTTTAATTTAATACAACTACCTTTTTTTAAAAAAAGCTTTCATCGAAATATCGATATTTTTACAATATTTCGATGATATTTTACTATATCATCGATAAGGGGGAAAACGATTTTTCCCTCAGTTGTCAATGACGAGTCCCTCGATACATCGACATGTTGACGTGTCGAGCGACATTTAGTACACTAGTTAAAACCTATATGCCAACTATTTTATAAATAGTCGGGAGAATTAATATTTAAAAAAATAAAAAAAAACACTCGATGGTGTTTTTAAAACAATCAGGGTAAACAATACTTGCCAACTATTTTTAAAACTCGTCAGGAAAATTAATACTTAAAAAAAACTCCCTACAATTTTAAAAATAGTTGGGCAAATTATTATATAAATAAATTTAAATAGTCGTGAGTTGATGAAATATTTTTTTAAAAAATATTCCCAATGGTTTACTAAAATAGTCGGGTAAAAACAACTTCTACCGAACATTTTTTAAAACTGTCCGGAATATTAACTTTGCCCGACTATTTTAAAAATAGTCGGGAGATGTAAATATTTAAAAATTTATATATAAAAAACAAAATACGAGGCGATTTACTAAAATAGTCGGGAATATTAACATCTTCTTATTATTGTCGCTATGAGTTTGTGACGTGGAGCGGCCGACTTTCTTCCTGAGAGGAGAAAAATGGAGTCGTCACCAGTCTTTATTTATAGGGTGTGACTGGCCACCCAAGTGCATGGATAAATTAGTCTGTACGAAAAAGATATGAGTTCGGGGGTCTTTTGTATATGGGGAAGGTATTAGCACCTCACAACACTCGTTCAACTATAATTTATTTTTCATATTATTTTCAAGAAAATGACCTTCAAATAAAAGAATTTTATTTTTATTTTTAAATGTCCCATGTTTTATTGATCATTATTCATATGGTAAAAAGTATATGTCACTAAATCTACAAGTTAACTATCATATCATACTTCCATTAGAAATTTTTATAAAATTATGCATTTTTAAAAACAAAAAACAAAAATAGGACAGTTTAGAAAATAATTCCAAAAGTAGGGCATCGATATATACAATTTAGCTAACTCGCGTCCAAGACAGAGTTACATCGAAATCACGCCCATTGGATGCAAATTACGTTGATGCATTCATTAGATGCGATTTTGTTGCGATGTTTGACACAAAAACCATGTGCATTGGTTGTCCCCAGAACTAGACCCACCCCCATTCTTTCTCATTTTCAACCCGAGGTAAAATTTCTCCCAACAGACCCCACCACCTCTCCTCCTAACCTCGACCCACCAGCGCTTGCCGTCGTTCCACCAACCATCACCGCTTGCTGCTGCCGCATCCACCAGCTAGAAGACGCAAATATTTTTTTTTCAATTTTTTCTACTGATTTACATTTTGTGGGTACTGTTTTTGTGTTTGTTTTTGCTCAATGTTTTGTATTATTTTGTTTTGAGTTTGAATGTATTTGAATTATTTTATATTATTATATTTTATTGATATTATTTTGTTCATTTGTAGCCATTTTTGGAGTATTTTGGGGGTGTCTTCACTGTTTTTGTTTTATTGGTGGTATCTACAACATAGTTGACTATTCTTTTGTAGTATTTTGGTTGATTTGGATTGTTGTAGACATTTGTCTCGTTAATTGTGTTATATTATATTATTAAATCCTTGATGTCTCATCCGACTCTTAGTTATTCAAAAAGAAAAAAATTGTGTTATATTTATTTTTTTAATTGTTTTGGAATGATTTGTAGTTGACATTTATAAAAAATAATATTAATGTTGATAATACATTTATTATTAATTTCAGATCATTTGGGCACCATATACTCACGATACATTATTACCTGAATATTGTCATAATGGGAGCAATATTTCGTTGACTGCAAGTTCGCCCTTATATGTTTTCATATAAATAAGTGACATCAACCAAACCGGGTATTACGACAGTTTGCGGTAAGACATATCAGACCATCATATTGTGATACAGACTCACAATTACATAAGTTGATCTTAAGAGGAAAGCATGATTATGATTGACAACACCATCATGCAGTTGGCGTTGACGTTGTGATCGATGTGTATTTGGTGATGTAATAGATGAGCCGACTGTCTCAATTGAGTATTTAGATTAGTATAATTCCATCATGAGAAAATATATCACACATGAAGGTGTTTTTTACAATCAAACGGTAAGTATTACAATTCTTCAATTAACTATTTATGACACTAATTTAAAATTATACATTAATATTTTTTTTGTTCATTGTAAAATCCTTTAGTGTGATGTCCAAAACATTGCAGTAGAACACAATTCGGTTCTTTATGCGAGACCTACATTCAAAATACAAACATCCTAGAGGGCACTAATAAAATAGTTTCTTCCAACTTTGAGAGGAGACACGCTTGCATCGGTGCCAATCACCAGCTGATGATATTCAAGATTCAGAACCTCTGATAATTGAAGATTAGATTCTGACTACTCAAATTCAGTAAGATTTTGATCAGGGAGAACACATATCAGATTCATGATAAGCCAAGGAAGAATTGTACTTACATCCACGTTGTATACAGGCCCAATATCAATTTTAAACGGACACTTTTCCTTGATCGAATTCTCCATTTCGGATAAGTTATTGAAAGATTGGTATCGTAGATATATATCATTCTCCAATGTGAATGAAAACTCTCTCCGGCCAAAATATGATTGGTCACTGCCTGGATGCTTGCCATCTACAAGGAAAAACAGGAGCAGTTACATATTTAATATTAGTTAGCTTCCTCTGGGTGGATAATTTTTTGCTTCTGTTTCCAAGAATCAACGGCATACCATTTCCATAAGACATCCATTTGAAGAAATCAGTATACGGGAAAAGCTTTCCTGCAACAATTATATTTCACATCTTTCAGGAGCAGAAAACATAAAACGGACAAAATCAAACTAAAATCCATGGAACATTTCATATCGCAACCGGAAAGAAGGCCAGATCAAAATACAAAAAATTTCTTCAAAACCAAAAGTGGGTATATAAATGGTTTCACCGTAGTAAATTTTGAGATAGTTAACATCGAACCCATCGGGCACAACTTTCTCAGGCTTCTGTTCGAATCCATCAATTTCCATATCGCCTCCTCCATTCTCGACCGCTTCAGTAATCATTTTCGCCACAACACCTGAATATTACTGCAAAATTCAAGCGGAGACTGAAAAATTCAACTGAAAAAAGAGTGAATCGTAGAATCAGGAAGATTGTAAAAAAAAAGGCAGTGAGATGTTCAGAAAATTTGGTTTACCGGGATTGGACTACGCGAGACAAAAATAATTAGGGACAGAAATGGCGGGGAGAAGATGGAAATTTTGGCGTGAAGTTTACGGTTTAATTGGATCAAACCGGTTTTTTTTTACCAGACCAGAGAATGGACCGAAACTTCAAACCGAACGAGCTGTGTTTAAGTTTCGGTTCGATTTCAGTCGATTTTGTCCCTTCTATTCTAAAATATAAAATATATATGCAGTATATTGAGTCCTTGGAAGAAATAAAATTATGCTAATGTAAGATTTGATTTGCGTGATATGTTTGAGAAATTTATATTTTTGACCCATTTCATAATTCTATTTGGCTTTTTATCCCTATTTTAAAAATATTTATTTGGGAGTCCTCTCACTTTTTGATCTTGTAAAATTATCAAAATGTCCCTGTTTCGGAAAAGGTAAATTCTCCGCCATCTTTAATTTTCTCCACCAATCTCTCACTTTAAACATATCACATTACTAATTGGAAAGAAATCTTAAACTTTTAAATGTGAATAATTCAAATCAATTACTAATTGGAAAAAAATCTAACTTCTTAATTCCAAGAATCAATTACGAATCTAATACAAAAAAATCAAATTTGTATAATGCCATAAATACAGATTTAATTAAAAAGAAAAAGACAAGATTCCATAAATATTGGATCAAAATTACATAAATATCCAATGTTAAATTTAGAAAGAGGGTAAAGATTGCATATGCCCATGATAATTAAAAAAAAAAAACCAAAGTTGGACAAATCCCGGTCCGAGATACTTGCAATTTCAAGTCTCTTTGTTTTTAAACCTTAGAGATTTATTTTCATATTGTTTTCTTTTTCTCAAATTTTTGGATTTTTCTTTTGGTCAGCTTGTGATTTTTTGAGTGTTTCTTTTGTGCGATTCTTCGAATTTTCTACCTAGATTTTTATCAATTTTAATTCTCGTAATTGTTAGATCTAGGTTTGTTTGATCATTTTCTATTTTTTTTTCGTGGTTTCTTTTGAAGTGACCACCGACAAATGTGTTTCTGTGTTTTTCTGTTTTTTATTATTATTATTTCTTCTTACAAAAGAGTAAAGTAAAAGAACAACTTAAACTTCGAGGAGTTGTTTTGCAGCCATATTGAAAAATTGTTCTTCCAATGTAGATCTCCTTCTCCATTTTTCTACTCCCTCGCAAGCTTCTCCATTTGTGTAGAATTTTTATTTTTTGAAAAAAATAATTTTACAACATCCACCCGCAGCTTTGATATCCAATTAGTGACATCATCTGGCCCTAATACTCACTCATTCACTTCATAACATCTTATAACTATCACCGGAACCCTAGTACATGCTTTCAAGTCATGGCCCATGCAACATCCAAATTATAATAAATCCAGCATACTTGCATGATCCTAAACAAACATACTCAACTAAATTACACATCTAATATATGATCAGCATGTCTCCCCCACAAATATTCCAGAAACATATCAACACATCAACCAACAATTTCAGAGTAGACATCTGTTACATCAAATATATACTTCCACAATCACCTTCTCACATAAACTAAAGCAACCATCTAAAATTAACGTTTATAAAGTAATATCAACAACAAACAATCATGCTAGGCACAACACACAACAACCAATTCTCTCGAGTAAGAAACTACTTACACACTTGCGCTGCTAGCTCCTTGAGTCGGATTGAAATTGAACCTTACTGAAACGATGGTGAAAGTGTTGGGGCTTGTAGATCTGGTGCCGACAAGGTCCGGATGTCACAGATCGAGCTTCGTTGGGTTAATA